GTGCAAGTCCAAGAGTAATTGACTCAAGGGGAAAATAAATTGTATTAAAAAGATGGCGGTATGATTCTTGTTTCAATACTAGCAGAATGACAATAAATTTTCAACAATATTCCTTGCCGTGACTTATTGTTGTTAGGTCCCCGTTGAATATCTATGTAAATATTGCTTTTATTACAAATTAAAATGAATAAATAAATAGAAAGATGGATGCAAGACAGATTATTAGTCACCCATGGAGGGTGTCTGGTTTGTCGTCTTGCGGGGATCGGGAAGAAAAAAGGAAAAAAAACAGTCAAGGAAATTTACCAGGCAACCATTTAATCTGGGTCAACTTAAGAAGACTTTACTTTGTGGTCGTATTATATCTAGCTAATGTCCATTGTTTAAAAACGAAAACTGTTAAAATCTTCGGGCCTCACGGTCATGATAGGTTAATGGCGAGTTCATTCAACAGTCAATTGTGACCTCTTAATTACCCACTGTTTTACGGTGCTGCAAAGGAGCGCACCGAACCGGTACCAGAATCAAGATGCTTTAAACAGCTGTATCAGGATGCTTTAATAATCATAATAATACCGCACCCCTAGCCACTGCTAACTTAAAAAAACAAAAAAAAAACATAAGGCGTGGGCGATTGTGATCACGCGCCTTGCTTTATGATCCGTTCCTCAACTCGTATATTGCATGATGCCGAAATCTGATTGGTCGAGGAACAATATTAAGATTCTTGGGAATCTCGAAACTCTGCGTTTGTTCAGCTATAATTCAGTACTATTTAGCAATGAGGTCAGGGTTTGTTGTATTTAGCGTGTTTCCGATTGCGCAGGTTATGGGCATCACAGCAGCGATTTCCGCTGCGTCAGCGTCGAGCGTCCAGCCTTTCAGCCCCGTGTTCGGTGGGCCTCCGCCAGCACATCTCACTGCCATAAAAACTCCCACCGTACCCCTAGCTCTTCTGCATCAGACCCCTCAACAACATCGCGGAGAGGCCAACTCTAACCCTATTCCTTCCCCGATCTCAACACTGCCAGAAATGGCCTTCTCAACACCACGCCGAAGATTAAAGTTGAGGAGAAGGCTCGTCGCAAAGACCGGGATGGGGTCTTCGAAGAAAAAGTTTCAGCCGGCTGTTGAACACCTGAGAAGTGGACCTTACAGTTTGGGCCCCAGAGACGACCATGGTGTCAGCAGGAACGACACCACAATGAAGTGGCCTGCTGCTTGGGATCCACTGACGCCACCCGAAGAGTTTGGTGGTGTAGGAACAGAGGAGGAGAGAAATCGTCACTTGTATCAGGCAAGACACGGGTTATTATTTTTTGTTCTGCTTTAGTTTCTGAAACCTAGATTGTGGCGCACCGGATAACAAGGATATTTGTGTTCGGACCACACTCGATTATGTGCGACGTGTGTATCGAAAATATAGCTGATAAAGAATTGATTTAACCTGGATTTCTCCCTGAAAACCCTACAATTACCTTCTTTATTTATGCAAGTGTCATAGATGAACACTCAGTGCCATGAACCCAAAGAAAAATAACCAGGTGCATTAAAATGGCAGATATAGTACTGAAATTAAATAATTCCAGATGTATGACCCCTGGTCGACCGTGTAAATAACTTTCAAGCAATTAAAAAGTTTGGGAATTTAAGAAAAAAACATCTACAAGAAGTATTAACTTATTTTCCAAACAGCCACCACCTTTCGTCGTTCCACAAACCTCAAGTAAAAAAAAATCACAGAATGTTTTTTTTTATGAAACGAGGCACAAAAATAATAACCTTCAAAATATCGTGCATACCCAGGACATGCAATATTTTGTTAATATTTCTAACCAGTAATTTATTAACTCTCCTTCTCATATTTTGTTTGCATTTATCGATCAGCCCTTGAACAGTAATTTGTCATACAGGGCTATCGCCTGCCATTCAATAACCATCTCAGCCATATAGTGTGTTAATCTGCCGAGTCTTAATTGGCAGGATTGCGGCACCTGAAGCGAATATTTCGCCGTTATTATTCGCCTAAATCTGGATATCGACAAATTCTCAATCAAAAGATATGACGAACATTATCATAAAGAAATAATTACGAACTTTTCACGCGAGCTAGGTTTTCCGCACAGGAATTGAACAATGATAAATGGCAATCCAACAATACCATATTCAAAACCTTTCCATGGGATTTTCCAACTCTTCTAAATTTAAACGACTGCTTTCTCTTCTGCATTCACCGACTTCGCACGGAATAATACATTCCAGATCAAGACTGGTAAGCATATATTAATATATAATCAGTCTAAACCAAACTCCAAGAGACAGTCCAGGAAATACTCACAGCCTAGATTTAATTTTGTTTCTACATTTAAACATGTAGCTTTCCTTCCGGGGGAGGCAAGTGCTGCAGGTTTGAGCAATGCAGAAATAAACAGAATTTTAAAACGAAAACAGCTTAAGTAGGACATAAAAAAATACGCATCCAATGCACGGTGGCCCTAGAGTATTGTGTAAACTCACGCGAATTCTTTTAAAGGCAGAAATACAAAAAAACATCCAAAACTAGAAAGATTAGATTCCTACTTGAATTCCGTTTGCACGGCATTTGAGAATTAAGCGCAAACAGGAATATCCCATTTGTAATGAGCATTGAACCATGTCGCTGAGCAAGGCGTTTGGGAGAAAGAGAAACTGCTGAGCATTCAGTTCGAGTTACGAGCACAATGCCGCGAGTAGCCTAATATATTTTTGGGGAACCGATTTTAAGCTCGACTAACATAGAAGGTGAACAAATTCGTACTGACATGCTACACTTTACCTAACAAAGACGTGGGCGATTATGATGTTGTTGACAGCTACTAGAAAGGCGCAAACATAAATTGCGCTTAAAATGCCAACAAATAAAAAAAAATATTATAGATGCGCGAGACGTTACGATGCTTTATTCAACAACTCATATGCTCGCGAAAAAGACGCTGCAATGAGAAATTCGTAATGAGATGCATAAAACGTTGTACACGCTTACTTTCCAAAAGTTCCGGGGAAACGAGTTCCTCGTTTGAATTGTACATTTCGCGATCTTATTTGGATAGGATTCAAGCAATTGACGGCACGGCGAAAACGTTCACAATAACATATCTAGGAAAAGGGACAAGGAGAATATTTATTTTTTCACGGAAATACGTGATTTGTAAGCATTTTAGGTGCGCCAGGACCTTAAATCGATGTAGATTTTTCCCTTTGAATGAAATATATGGGATTATCCTAAAGTATATTTTTGCTTTCCATCTGTTTGCACTCCAATTGTCTTTCAGGCATCTGCTTTCTTGCATGTCCGCCACGTGCTTACCAACGCACTTTTGAGCTCGCTTTATTAGATTTTTAAACGTGCACGGTCAGATTTGCGTTTGAGGTGACGAAAATTCAAAGAGCTGTTTATTATCAAGAAAATATCTCCCTATCTTTGTTATTGTTTTCATTGTTTTTGTTTTTCTTTATAGTAGAACAGACAAGATTGCAAAACATACACGGTGTAGCTATTAGCGCTAGAACGTTCGCAGTAGCTGGCACCTGGACTAAATGCATATGGTAGCCGTCCATCTTGATTGCCTAATTATGCCAATCATTCTATTCTCGCAAACTCAATGTGACAGACAGAGCCTTCAAAATGGGCGCCAAGGGGGGAATTCATCTGTTTTTGTGCACTAAGGGTATGCACTCTTTCCTGCGAGATATCCCAAATATTTCTTAAAATTGCCTGAGATATTTCACATATTTATTAAGATACCAAATAGAATACCAAAATATTATGTTTTTGTTTTAAAAGCAAGGGGGGGGGGGGGGGGAGAAGACGCGGTGTCAAATATATTTATCCGCACTTTTTCCACGAGGTCAGTCTTGCACGTGGGCCATGTTTGGCCAAGGATCTTCTCTAGCAGATATATACATTATGCTATCTTATGTCTGGCTCAAACTGGTCAATGGCAACTAATTCAAGTGAAAAAAATCACTCTTTACCAGTTACGTTGGTGTCACACTTAAATGAAATTAGCTACGCACGTAGTTTAGGGAATAGATTTTAATATATCAAAGGGATATGAGAAAATTTGGCAATTACTTTCTCCATAGTAACGGTAGCGCAGACTGTATACCTGAGCATAATAAGACTACACTAATTTATACTCATCAATTTTTAAGTCATTTACGGAAATTAAATCAAAGCCAAAGGCAAAATTCTATAAACCTTTAAAGTGCAATGTTGAGTTCATAATATCCGCGAACTTCAAGGCAGACAGGTAGGAAGGTATAAGGTAAGGTAGGAAGGGTATGAAGGGTTCAATGACAATATACATATAAAAAAACTGAAGTCTACATGCTTCTTTTTGTTATTTGTGAAATTTTACAGGTGAAATTTTTTTCTGTGTCTGTGTTTTGTGTAACACTGATTAATTTATGTGCTGATAAAGTTGTCAAATTTTGCAAGAGCCAAGGACTTGTCGATGTCCTCCGTCTAGCTCCTTTTTGTCTCTCTTTCGCTCTTTCTCTGAGGATTTACAGATAATAAAAGAAAATTCAATTTAGATGAATTCAGCAAAGTGAAACTTATTTGAATCGAACTGAATTTAGATCGTTCATTTCAACTGGAAATGAACGATCAAGGATGATTAACGATCATTTTCATTTTACAGGTGCAGCCTATATAGGTGGCGTTGGATTTAAAACGTTCTGTCATTAATATATACATCTCCCCCCCCCCCCTAAAATATGCCGTAACGCGATCCCTTCATAGTAATGTATACAAAAAGATTGTACTTACCTATCTTGTCTATAACGGGGACCGTATTAACGAGACATGATTTTATTCCTCCCTGCACCTCATGCCAATATTCTTAAAAGGTGTGACCGTCGCGTAGGTTCATCGGTGGATGAGTGGAACGCAACCTGCCAACAAATCTCCTAAAGACCAGCTGCAGCGGGAGGCCGCAGCAGGTCACCATGTAGAAATGAGTCAGGCAACCAGTTACACCTCCGTTCGGATGGCCGCCGAACCGTCGGAGACCCCAGGGGATTTTTTGCATCATGAAGATTCCGGCACACTGGCGGCACCTCCGTGCTCCGAGTTCAACAGAAATCACTGTCCTTTCACCGAGGACTACCCGATGTAAGCCCCTTTTCACGTGTGCGTGGCGTATGAGCACGAGAACTGCTGTATTTATTATTGTTTATCGTAAAACGTTGTACAGAACTTACATGATCAACCGATAAGTTTTTTCAGGCTCGCCATTCTACGGAAATTATAAAACATTAAAATTTTAATGTCAAAAACAATTGTTTTGTGAATTGCCACCCATGAAAAATGAAAGGTGTTTTTGGTCTCCTACTGGTAATATTATTATTGTTGTCCCCCTCCGTTTTTTTTTCTGAAGTGATCTTTTTGGCAAAACTTTCACCACAAAAGAAAATGTCATCGAAGTTTGTGTGCTTGAAGCAAACTATAATATTTTAGGTAATTTTTGAACGACCTTTGACTGAATGTTATACTTAATGTTATGCAGCGTATCTTGTTTTATATGTGACCGGTGGTGCAGTATCACGTTCAGCCTTTTTTATGTATCGCCGTGCAGTAGTAATAGCGGAATTCTAAAGTAATCACACTGTTTGTGCTAATGCCTTAAAAAATACGTGTCGTTTTTTTTTTTTTTTTGTCACCTTGAAACATTAGGAGAGCAAACGAAATTCCACGATTCTCTCTGACCTTTTTCCATATGGGACGAGTTTTCAAAATAGCCACGCCTGCGGCATTCAACAACCAACATGGCCGTCAGCATTTTCTCTTTCCAATGTCAATGATAATCACGCCTCAGCAGAGTAGCAAATACGTTTTCATTTAAAAAAACGCTCTTGGAAACTGAATTTAAAATTAAAAGAAACGTTTCTTCGTAGAACACTTTGAATGTTGCTGCTTATTTTGTGTTTAGAGGAATCGGTGGTCTTTGGTGACTGGCTAAAATTCTGAGTTGACTTATTTGCGCGGATGCCGCGAGTTTGTGTGATCTTTCTTTGTGCACATCCCATTGCTACAACGGTTCGCGTGTGTAGGAACTGTAACTGCACCTCGTAATAAAAGAAATCACAAAGAAAGAATGGTTTACGCACTAAGAAATACCAACAGATGCGACGCGAAAATTCGTAAGCTTTTCACCGCACTGAAGGACGTGAACATCCACTAGTACATACCTCTAATACGACACATATATGTTCAAGATTTACATGTGTCGAAAAATTGCTCGTGTCGTTCCTCATGCATTTTGTCCTACGACCACAATATCTAAAACAGTACACTTAAGTCTTAGTTTCGACATGAAAGGGAGCTGCATCATTTTTTATTTTATTTTTTATTAACGTTCTTTATAGGCTCATTAATTGCCGTAAAAATTGCTTTAAAACGTTCACGTTTTCCGGTTCTACTCGTCCAGAACGCGCAGCCAAACAGCTTTTCTAATTTTGCGAGTTCAAATAGTCTGAATCTACTGAATATCGAGGAGTGTAATACAAAATTGATTAAATTGTGAACGTAGCTGCATGTTGGTAGTGATAATATATTATTTTCAGCGCCCTGATAAAAAAACCTTCACTAGCTTGTCTTCATGAGTTTCTTCTGAACTCCTAGCAATAAGACGACGCATTGCCAAAGAGCTCACGTGCTGTGCATAGTACGAAAACTCTACATAACCTTCAAAACCAACCCTTATTATTCCCCGATTATATTTGCGCATTACTTTGTTTTCAACCATGCATAATACATCAAGACTGGAAACCCCCGAAAGAGCATACAGTATGATTAGTTTACTACTAAAACTAAAAAACAAACATTGTAAAAAAACGCTAGAATGTTTTGTCTAGACCTTTTGATCATAGGCTCATATGTGTCTAGATCATTTTCCCAAAACGTATAGCCGCTATTTCCACTCCTTCGCGCATATATCATGTTGACTTTTAAATTATTCCAGAGGAGAAAAATAGATAAATATAAGCTCAATAAATTGAAGCGTCCGAGTAAACGAGCCATATTGCAACAGCGCGTTGCGCTTTGATGTACCATACCCCTTATGTACCATATGTCGTTGCATTTGACACTATCGAGCCTCTCAAGTTTTATGCTCTAAACAAATATTTATGTAAAACACTATCAGCAGAGCGCCACATAAATCGAGAGATACGATGGGAACAAAAGCCTCAAGAAGGACCATAATGAGTGTGGAGTCACGTCAATGATTTTCATTAGAGAAACTCGGATGCTGACCTCAAAATAGATCAATCATCATTTTTTAAATCTTCCAGATCGAAAAGGAAAATTCTCGTTCATAATTATCTATATATTTTTTTCGAGAGTACTAATTTTATATCAGCTAAAATCAGACATTTCTTTTGGAACATTTTTGTGAACCTACTTTTCTAGCTAAATATCATGATGCCACAAATTTAAGAGAGCCTAAATTGGATGTAATAAAGGCAGACAGCACCTTCTACAAATAACTAGAGAATGATTGCCCAAACATATCCAAAATGAGCAAAATATTAGACGGTTAAGTGTGGGTCGTTAATCGAAGTCCGACCTGGTGATAACGCAGAATTAAAGAAAGCAGTGATCTTTTCTGCGGGCATCGAAGGCGCTTAAAGCAAACTATTTTTATTGAGTGTCTATTGACTTTTTTGTATTCACTGTTGACAATTTTTGCTCAGCCCTCTCTTAAATAAAATACCCTGCCACACATAATATGCCGCAGTTCATATTTTTAAATAATAAAATACATACCGAGTTTGGAGCAGTTCAGATGACTTGAACCAGCAAGGAGCTCTCAACCGATACGCTGCGTTAGGTAGTACGGTTCAGCCGAGTTGCTTTTGGACACGTTGGGGTAATTATGGGTGCCCGTCTTTTAGCGACATCGTGACCCAGGTGACCAAGTTCCTCAAGTGGCCGCTGGAAAAGCTCTTCCGGGACCTCCGCCAGGCGCAGAGTCCCCCGCTGATGGAAAATGGCGACGGGGCGCTGGTCTGCGACTCTCTGACGCGCATCGTGCGGCCGGGCTGGGCAAAGAACACCAATTCCCGCTGGCTCGTGGTTATCAACACCCACAACTACGAACAGTTCGTCACAGAGACGACATGTAGGTAAGAGACAGACACATTCGTCTTGTAGGTACCCCTAGTAAAAAATCTTATATGTATAATAAATTTCTACGTTCAATAGATGTATGTCATCAAATAAGATTATATAAGAACATACATAAACCTTATAAAAACATACGAGGACAATTTGAGATTAAATAAAAAGTTTTAAGAAGCTGATAAAGAGTTTCTTCTGACTTACGTAATCTTATATTGTTCTTTTTATTCTTATTAGTTTCTTATATAATCTTATTTACTCGCATGCGTTTATTGGACATAAAAATTTCTTATGCATATAAGCTTTTTACTAGGATAAGGGTTATGATTTACACCGTGACCCTTTCGTAGGTGTAGAGTACTTTTGTACATAATTCATCTACAGCATACGAGTCACCTAAGTTATGTAGCTTATCGGTGCTCCTGAATTTTGGTGCTCCTATGCTTAGTGCTGGGGCAATGTTTTTTTTTTTTATATGGCTCCGCGTGTTCGGGGTGTTATTTTTTATTTTTTTAATTCGGGAGTGGTGGCATTTTTGTCAGTATACTTAGCACTTTTCGGTTTTTATATTGCTGAAAAGATGATTTGCCAAATTTTAGGGCACTGTAGTCATCACCCAATTTTTTTTCACACACAGATCTAGTAAATTATATATATATATATATATATATATATATATATATATATATTCTATCAAGAACCTTTTAGAACAGGCCCATTTGCGAGGATGCCCCCTAATTTATGTCAATCAACTATTTGCATTTTGCTTGTAAGATATTTAGAACTGTGACAACGCTGTCTCAACACTCCGACCCGACAAAGAAAGATACGTGATATTGAACACCGCGCTTAACAAACGCTAGAGCTGGACTAGCAGCACTTATTAAAATCTAATAAAACCACTGACGTTTTAAGAACACATCTACCCAGCAATATAGCAAGGTGGTGCGTTTATCTGACTTAGTATGCAATGAACATGGTGATAAACAGCGCACAAGAGACAGACACAATAGAAAAAAACAGACAGGACAGCGCTTATCCTGTCTGCTTTCTTCTACTGTGTATTTGTCTCTTGTGCGCTGTTTATCACCATGTTCTACCCAGCAAACCCGTTTTGGAAGGTCTTGAGGGAATCCCTGTACCAAAAACCAAAGATCAGTCGGCACGAATCAAAAACTTGCTAAAGCTCGATTTTCAGAGCCGGATGCAGGGTGCCTGCTTTCAGTGATGAGTATGCACCTCAACACCCCACCCCCTCCTCCACAGACGCACACAACACACCCACACACAGCCACAGGCTGAGTTTATCCTACCACCCATCCCCCGGGACTGACAATCCTGGGTAAACCAATGCGTGCCTTACACAAGCTAAAGCTCGAATCGTCGCTGAAGTGCATCTAGCCTGACGGGTTCCAAATCGGAGTGACATTAATCAACGCACAACAAAGAACTAGGATGGCACGTTGTGACTCATCTATTCGATTAAGCATTCCGTTTCTGTCGTTATCATAACAACGCACTTGCACACATTTCGATTAAAATCACTGCCCTACGAGGGATATCAAGAGAAGGATATCAGAAAGAAGAGTTTTTTTATTTCTAATAAAATTCATCAAAATATTGCCGTTGCTCGCTCGAAGCTTATATGCTGTCACGGAGCTGGTAACTGTCAAATTTATATATCATACTTTATTTACTCTGATCTCGTCGAAATACCACTCGGCAGTAACATCTGCTAGATCAAACCCCCCTCTACTTTGCTGCGAGTTTGCTGTCATTTGATTTCGAAACGTTGCCGAGAAATCCTCCATAAATGACATAAAAAACACCAAATCATGCCTTTTTTTTACATTATAGACTTCTAATGCTGGTCTTTTTTTGTGTTTTTAAACACAAAATTAAAAGTTAGGACTATAAATTGGACGGTTGACTTTTGACCTTTTTAATTAAATAATAAAAAAACGCGGCATCCTCATTGATATGCCAGGGTGAGTGCGTGCGTGTTTTCGTGTGTGTAAATTGTGACAGGAAAAATATTTTAAGCCGTTTACATAAAGAACGCCCTCCTTACATCCTAAACTCTATAAGATTTACTTCTTTTTTTCATGAGCGGACCTTCGTTGGTTAATTAACTGAGGGTTCCTTATTCGTCTGTTTTTTTTTTTTTTTTTTGCATGCATGTGTTACCGAGGAAAGCCGATTAAAACATATAGAGCTTCTGAACCAAGGGATTTCTATCAGACTAGTAGTCTGCTAGAGATTGCTACCATTTAGATAAATACGAATTCTTTTCTTATTTAGTGAATTGTTTTGTGATTATTTTTATTGCAATATTGTATTTTTGATTTGAGTTTTGCTTTTGATCTTTATAATTTTTTGAAATTTAATGCGTTATGTTTCTGTAATTTTTGTTTTACTTAATATTTTGGTTTCATACGACGTTAACACTTCTTCTTTTTCATTTTACTCCGAAAAATATGGGCGGGCATCAGTTTCTTTCGCTTAGATTTGTGTCTCCAATTACTTCTTTTCTAGGATAGAGCCAGCTTCAATTTAAGAGGGGAAAACTAGAAAGTACAGAGATAGAAAACAAGACAGAGATATTGCTCAACTACAAACTGGGATTTAATACTTGTTCCCTTTTGTTTACCTTGACTGTGCTTGTTTTTCTTCTTCATTCTAAGAGCTTTAGAAAGAATTTAGTTTGAAATGACCCGCATTTGAGCGGCACGTAAAACACCGCTTGTTTTTTTGTTTAGCTTGATTCAAGGCATGCTGACGCATGTTGTTTTGTTTTATTCAATGTAGTTTTGAGCGACTCTCGTGCATATGGCCTTTTGTTTCTTGCAAGGATGGCGATGCTGCTGAAAGCTGCACTGCATTTCCAGATGCAGCAATGTGCTGCTAGATGACCTGCCGTCGTTCCCTTGACAGATGCTGCATGTTCTCTTGTCCCATCATTTATGCACCTGCCAGTTTGAGCGATTTAACTATTGCTGCATGGTAGGGGAATGAGATAAAAAACCCCTACAACACAAAGGGTATATTGTGTCTTGTTAGAAATGTTCCATATTTTTTTTCCTGTCGATGTTGCACTTTATATTCCAGTTCATGGAATGCGTCCTGTTTGAAGCAGAGTAGACGACCTTAATGCCCGGCCTCGCGGCTATTTTTTTTATTTGTGGAATATGCGATGACTGTAGGGTACTACTGAGAATTTTTTGCTTTGTTCTTGTCTTCTATCTCTCATCTGTGTTGGCTAATTCACACTTCAGTTTTGTGCAGATGTATTTACTCTCGCATACCAGGGGACCAATCGGATACCCAGAATCCCGTAGGCGAAAATTTAGCTTTTCAAAACTTTGCCCAATTTTTGTGGTGACAAGATGTGTTTAAGGCCGATACAAGAGCGGTGTTTGCAACACTTTGTTTTATAGTTTTTAAATGTTAAGATGCAAATGAAATAAATTTTTCGCTTGCCCTTGGTTGATACTTCCAACAAACCTGTACTACTTTAAATTCCAGCTTGAGGCCGAGGAACTTTATGAATCTATCCACGAGAGGTTCATGTGTGAAGACTAATTCTGGGCAGCTTTCTTGAAAGCCCCGTAAAGCCTTTTTATTTTCATTCATTGTTTTGGTCCTCCTACTCAGTCATTGTAACAATCACAAAGTCATTAACATATAACATACCTGTAGACGGCCGTGATTCTCCTATTATGCAGGTTGTTCTGGATGTTCTTGTCACATGCTGCCAAAAACAAATCACACAGCTATGGGGCTACGTGAGACCCTATACACACTCCACTTTTTTGTACATAGTGTTTGCCTTCGAGTGCAAAGGCTGCCGTTGTTAGGTTTGCAGTGCGCAGTTCCAGGAATGTTTCAAGTTCATTCCCGCCGCGTTTTCCACGATGTGCTGTTTTGCTCGTCTGTTTTTTTTTGTTTTTTTTTAGAATTTACATGAGGCTTGCATCGGGTTTGGAATAATACATATTTTGAATGTCTATAGAAAACCCTGAGGCGACATTCGATCCGTTTTCTTGAGAGTATAAAATACGTTGTTCCAAATTTTTACCACATTGTTTGTTTTGATAAACCTTTGATTTTTAAGAGAACAAACGACGATTTCTTTTTTTTTCACTAACATTGTCGTTTAGTGTACCTTCCTTCTACGAAGTTTAGAAAATTGAGGTGCCGCTATGGCTAAACCGCAGAAATGTGTACACATTTAACGCTGATGTTTGCAGTACACGCTACGTCCGTGTCACTTGTTTGTCCCTCGGCTTTTCGCGTTGTTTTCAATTCCGAAGTATGTACCAACTCGCCCAAGCCTCAACTTTTGCAGTAGGCTTCCCGAAGTGACAAAACAACCAAGAAGCAATTCATGGCTTTTGTAGCTAGATATACATTGTACTTCACTGAAAACGCACACTCCTACAATTACACTCGTTGTTTTACAAAGAGCTTGGCAGAGTGTATGAAATGTTTAACTCCAGTAATTTAGATGAAAGGCCCTACGCACAGTATTTTGTCCTACTCAGACAACTTGAGTAACTTCGCGATAAACAAATTCGTAGAAGTAGTCCCGACATTGTGTCGCAAGTTTATACATAGCAGTTAGGCGCGGCAGATTATGTCTCACAACAATCTTTGTAAACTGAGTTTTCATGCAGTAATAAGGGTAACATTACAGGAAACGAGCGTAAGGCATGCCTTTAGAACTAGATTATACAGGGTGGCTTAAATAGCGGTCAGGCTCTTTATACCGAACGCTAGGATCGGTTTCATAACCTTTCGCGCTACGCTTTTGTGCAGCATTGCCCACAAATGGTGAATTTTTTTCGCTAAAATTTTCAAAGAGTGAATTTACCTGAGGAAAAAGGAAAAAGCCAAATATTTCTCACTGTCAACCCTCTACCCCTCGCCTCCTTCGGTTTGTTCGGCACTGCGTAGCATCTCTAGGGAAGTGATGGGAGTTCGACAGAAAAATTGAGCATCGTCA